TTTCTTAGAAAATCTTCTCAAAACTATAAGCAGAAGTTTCTGTGGACTTTTTATAACCCCTGAATACTACATTTTACTTGAAACTGGCTCAGAGAAATGAGGGAGCTTGCTTTGTTGAGTCATGGTGACAACCGCACGATCTTCCATAGAGACTTTAGACTAGTATGTTTTTTACTTTTTTTTCTTTTTGACTTCTACCACGTTTGTTGTTGTTTTGTTGTTGTTGTGATGATGGGCACTTATAGAGGCTGAATGAATAAGCTGGGACTTCTGAACAAAAAGCTAGATTTACATTTTTGCAAATTTCTAACTCGATTCTATTACTCGATTACTTGATTCTCTCCTTAGGCAAGACCCTTCATGCTAATGGCTGCTTCAGCGTGAAGCTAAATTCTGAGGTTCTGAGTTCAAGCCCCACTCCCACAGACTCCCACTCCCCGAGAAAAACCCCTAAACCCCACACTGCTCCCCGGGCACCGCACAATGGCAGCCTACTGCTCCCCAAGTGGATGGGTTAATGTGGAGAGTTAGTTTTTTTGCTCTGTACTTGTAACAGTGTAATGACAAAAATAAAAACAATGCTGGATACAGCTTGTTCCATTAGAGTACCAAATAAATTTTAGTCTAATCTTGAAACAAATCAACTTTACACCTAGAAAGTTAATCAGAGGTTGTATATCTTGAAAATTTAAATGTAATATTATCTGAAGCATATGAATAATTTAGTGCAATGTTGAAGATCTAATTTTCTGGGTAAATCTTTTCTGCCACTCTTTATAATTTTTTTGCACCACTGGGAACCAGGAATGATCCCCACAATTAATGTTATTAACTAAACCCTGAGTCAGAATTTATTTGCAGATAAACTGTATAAATTGGGCCAAAGAGTCCTATCTTTATGTGTCTTAGCAAATCTCGACATTCACATTTAAGCTGTGCAATATTTTGTCTATAACCATCTTAGAACTACCTTCTATGGGTTGAAATGGGGCTATTTTTAGTTGAATTTTGCCGTTGCTTATTAAAATTGTACATCTTGGTACACATCTATGTCACAGGCTTTCATTATGCATAATGAACTTACTATTAACCTCAGAACTGAGAAGTTAGTGTGACATAATCTCTGAGGTAATAGCTTTCTAATATTATCGCATTAGACAAGGTAATGCTAACAGAGACTAGTTGGCATTACCTCATAAGATCACGTTTCATCTCTGCCAAGCACGCTTATTGGTGTTTAGGCTGAATTCTATGAGCAGGTAAAACGAAACTTGACGGTAGGATGTTTCTTTTCTGGACCCAGCATCCAGAACAGGAAGTCTCCACAAAGACTTTGATATTTACTATAACCCTTTATCCAAAATGTCTTCAGGTTGTTGGATTCAATATTTTAGATATATAGTATCTATATAGTTTTCTAACTTAGAGGGAAAAAAATGTTGGAGCATTTCAGTTAAAGTAAACCTGGGTCAGTTATGCTAGATGGATCTTTTCAACCAAATATGTGAAACTGTTGATCCACTGAGCAAAAGATGACTTGACTGTGATCCAACTGATTAAATGCTGTGGCTAGAATTATTAAAGCAGTTAATCCTTAAGAGGAAAATGTGTCAGAATAGATATTGCATTATATTTTGTTATGTATGGTCCTTAATAGCCACAGACCAGTATGAGAGGGTCATAATGTTGCAACTGATCTGTGTACATGACAGCAATAAGAACTGCACCAAATCTGAAATGTCGTTCATTGACTGACATGTAGCTGATTTAATCAAGGCCTCTATAATATTTTTCCCAAACTTTGGAATCTGAACATCAAAAATAAAGAGAACATTTGTTTCTTGAAACTTTTCCAGCCATAAACTCCTCATTCTGAGGAACTGTTTGTGAAAACGGTGTTTGTATGGCTCCATAAGCCCACGGTCCATCCCCCACTGTTATCCTCTCATAATTTTCACTTCCTTAACTTTTTGTTGCCACTTTCCTTTCCAAACTCAGCCTCTTATTGTTTTAAAAATACATAGGAAAAAGGAAGAATGCATCTTCTCCGTCCTCCCACACATTTATTCCTGACATCATAGTGTGCCACATTCAAACCCGTGACGCTACTGAAACCCATCATCCTCCCTGAAACATGTCAGAGTGTTGACATTGTTTTTCTATCATTAGCCGCTGGAGCTACTGTGCAGCTTTAGCAGAATAGGCTGGTATGTGTTTGGAAAACTGCAAATTTATGTCCCTTCCATGATGAGGTGGACGGAGATTGGGAACTGCATGGGTTGTTCTGGAAATGATCATTACGATAACGCGGGAAGAACTGTGGAAGCTGTCAGTTTTGTACAGGTCGTACAAGAAATGAATAAATACACACTGTAGTTATCGTCCCCCAAGTCAAGTGAGATTATTTTCTATAAAAAGCCAAGTGTTGCTCTACAGATGCTGAGTGTGTACTCTGGATTTTTTTTTAGATATGAGAAAATTCAATATCCTCTACTGTATCCTCTACTTTTGAGAAAAACATATGTTTAGTGTATCTTAAATAGGTTTATTCAACCATACATTTTCAAAGTAAGATTTTTTAAATCTTTTTTTATTTTATCTCTAAATATTGAGAGAATCACACCTCAGTCCAGGATTTACACACCTCAGGGATTTTTGGAAACACACGGATTGATGGGTGTCATTAGCTGTTAGCACAATTAGCTGAAAGCAATAAGGTTCAAACCTAAGCTGAGGCCTTTTTGTGTTAAATCTTAATGTCCTGCCAGTCTATTAATACATTTTTTTCACTAATTTTTTCTACCAAGCGTGTGAAAAAAAGAAAGCTCAGATTTATACAACTCTTGGATGTAGTGGTGAATATTCAGGCTGATTTTTCGGTTAGTATCATTTTCAGGGTTCCAACATGTTATTTGAACAAATTAAATGGAGCCACCATGTAATTTGATTCGGGAGGAACAAAAAGCAAAAAAAGGAAAGAGGCCACGGCATGTTTGGACTTGGACTTGAAAATTTGTGGCAAAAGAAATTTTTGTCATGATTTTTGGGTCTTGGTTTTTAATCATGTTTGTGTCTTCGATCACTTCTGAATATTGCTTATAGTGTCTTTTGATGTTCAGTTTATCTATCCTTGTTCGATATTTTAAAGAGGTTTCAGCCATAGGAGTCAAATATGCTCACTTTCTTTTTTGTTTCTTGTGTTCTATTCCATGTATTTGTGTATATTCTCTTAGATCAGGTTGGTTCATTGCTCCCTTTGTTTAGTATTTAACATAATTTTAGTTGTTGTCTGCACACTGTTGTTGGTGTGTCTCATTGCCATACATACCAAAGCATCTGCAGTGGTACTGAGTGCAGTTGTGCAGATGCACATTTAAAAAAATCTGCATTTGCACATTTGACATTTTTTTTATTCTGCTCAATGCCTTGCTCTCCTTTAACATGATCTGCAAGTTTTCTGTCAACATCTTAGAGCTTCTTGTCAACTTTTACCAACTTCATCCAAAAGTCTTCTGCAAGTTTTAGACCCAACCATCACCTCACTAAACTTAATAATATAAGCCGTTTTAACTATCATCCACTTTGCTATGAATTCTGTGATTCTAAATTGAAGTGTGCTTTGGGAGCCAAAGCTCAAGATACATCTCTGTCTACCATCATAAAATTTACATGATGATAATTTAAGGTTCTTATCTGTGAACATGAACATTGTGGTCTAAATAAGTTAGGCAACACCCTAAAGTCTGAGATGGCATGTTTATTTTGAGACACGCTTTTGTTTTTTGAAAACGACTTGGACTCAAGATGTTCAGACTTTTGGACATAACGTTCTATGTTGTAAATTTATTGCTTAACTGTCAGTTAATGTGGGATTAGATGTTGCTGATAGAATGAGAACCTTAAAAAGTCTGAAAAAGGCAGAGAAAATAGGCCGTTTCTGCCAAGAACTATAAGTATGATTATGGTTGTGATTTGGTTAATTTTTTCTTGCCATATTCTGTTACCTTTGCCATCTGGGGTTATCCGTATTTGAACGGTTTGCTCACCAAATTTGCTAGGTGTTTTCTGGAATATTTCTCAGCATTTTAAGTTGATTCTGTCCTAACTTTCTCAAGTTATTCTTCCTTGCTTTTCCCTCTGCCTATCCCTTGGTATAACTTTGCACAGATTGGCTGTTCAACAGTCAGGAGGAGCAATATGTCTCAAATGGATGAAAAGTTCATCACAGGGAAAACACTAAGACAAACAACCAACCGTCCCTCAAACCACCAGCTGTCACCTAAAATAGGTTACCCATGCCAGTGTTATCTAAGGAATGTTCTGCATTTAGCTTTATTGAGATAATGAAAGTTGTTGTGTCTGGACACAAAACTATGTGCTTTAAATGTTTGCACAGATTAGTGTTGTGTAATAAAAATGTAGTGTATGTTTTTTAGGAGAAAAATGTTTATCACAAATTAGCTAATAAGGCCTTTCTCTAAATTTGTTTAGTCTGCTTAAAACCTTGAATTCAGTATGTTGCTTTTAATTTACATCATTTTATTTTTAGATGGTTAAATTAGATTCTAAGATACTAGAAAGTGTTTTGGTGAAGAGAGACCAGTTAGGCAGCTGGAGAAAATCCGCTATCTGTCACGTTCGTGATGTACGAGGGGAAAGTTGATTTTATTCACCAAACATTAAGGAGGTTCGCATGGGGCATTGTCTGCTGCCATGTGTGGCTCTCTCTTTCCAAACACAAGGGCCCACTTTGAGAGAACCCACTTCATGTGTGGGATGGGAATGCTGATTCCATTGCTCAGCACAACCATCTTCCAGCCTGTTCCCACCCAGGCTATTATACAGTACCGCTCTTGCTCTCATTTTGTCCCCACATGACAGCTCTGTGGTGAGACTGCAACCACTGTCTTCTCCTGTGAATCCAGTCCATAGCTCAAGGAGAGGAGGACAGCATTATTTAAACGCCAGTCCACAGGGTGTGCGTCTTCTATAAAGCCCAGCACACAAAGACAACTCATGCAACAGAGGCATCCTTAGGCAGAGTGTCTTGAAAACAGTTGGAGAAGTAGAGTTTTGTATACAGGCTCCACCAAAGTAAATCCAAACTATGTGAACCTTATAAGGACAGCTGAAGACTTAAGAATATAAAAGCGGGAACTCACAGGCTCACTAAATGTGTCTTTTAAATGCCACGCTGACCTCTAAGAACTGGTGAGTGATTTTGCTTGTTCCTCTTGACTTTCAATGTTTGGTTTCTCTGCTCAAGTCGAAAACTAACCTAATGGTTTTTGAATTATCTTGAAGCCAAACCAAAGTACCGTGGTATTTTGTTTTCTGCAAATCAGTTTCTTGGGTTCATTTGGTGGTTATAACCATGCATTCTGTTTTACCACTTGGTATAAGAAAGATTTTGAATAGTTTTCTTTTTCTTTTGAAATGATGAAGGAGGTTTTCATAAATCAGTGCGGGTAAATCAGAGAAAAGTGGATCCAACGAAACATGTATGTCCATTTAATCCCATTTCATTCATTCATTAGTGTTCTTTATGTGCCTTTTTAAATGTTTGTTGTCAATAAAAAAGAAACCCTTTAATAAGGCTTTTAATTTTAGTTATCATTTATTATTCATCTATTCATTCATTTTTTTAAAAGTGCACAAGGTTTTAAATAAAAATGAGGATAAAAAAAGAAAAGAAAAGCTGTTGGGCCATTAATTGTAACATTTTGGTAATCAATAACTATTTGTTGTCATTTTATAAAACTATTTGCATTTCAGTTTAAATTATGTAATTTGGGGGAGCAGTGTGGGGGTTAAGGGTCTTGCTCAGGGACCCATAGTGCAGGCTGTGGGGATTGAAGCGGTTCTTGCAACCTTCTCAGAGCACAAGCGCACCGCTGTAACTGTAAAAATTAGAATTAGCACAAGATGTTTGGATTTTTTGCAGACAAAAAACAGATTTATATCACAATGATTGTTAAATGTAAGGCCCTTTAACAATAAGAGAATGACTTCTCTCCTCACACTGTAACGGATCTCAAACACAGACACAGTGGATGCTGAAAAAAATGTAACATCATCATCAGCTACATATCAAAGAGTGTCATCAGCATACATGTCGCAACCCGCACTGCATTAATACACCAAAGTATTTATCATAAACTACTCAAAACAAAGTAGGCCAAGAACTGCACCTTGGGGTACGTTTGATTGCATGCCTTGTTCCCTTTTTAGAAAAAATATTTAGATTACTTTAAAATAATTGCCTAATTGTCTGATTCAGGGTTATGCAAACAAAAACACATATAAAAGATAAAGGGTAAAGGTGAACTTCCGGGGAATCTGTTTGGACTTTATTTGATTTTTTATTTTTATTTTAAAAAGCAATTAATGATTTGCTTAGAGGTTTATTGGTGGTACCCACCAACATTTCTTATTTCTCTCATCATAAAAAACCCAATATTGGTTAATATTGATGCTTTCAGTAAAGAGTTAAAAGTTACTTTTGTCCATTCTTCAATTACTTTTAATATTTCTATCATTCTGTCTGGTTAATGAACTGACCATTTGTTATATTTTGTATCGCATCTACATCATTTTGTGTCAAAAAATTAAATAATCTGTTTTTAGAGGGTGATGCTTTCCCAGTACCACTTTAAGTCTACAAAGTATGAGAAATCACTTGAAATGTCACTGGTAAACTTTAAGTGACAAGAAGATAGAAAACATATAGTATAAAACATAATTTTAGTCCCCTCAGCACTTATTCAAAGAGTTAAAACATGCTTTGAGTAACTACAGTAGGTACACACCCCAGTGACTTCTTCAATGAGTCTATGAGTGGTTGTTATTTTACCCGGTTTGTGACATGAGTCTTAGACAGAGGTGCCCTTTGTTTGACTTACCTAGAGACCATATGTTCACCAAGGCAACCAGAAGAGGGAACCCCTCTGGGCGATCTCAGGTTTCAGCTGGGACATGAAAAGAAATGTCCAGGACAGAGAGGAAATTACTACTGTTGCAGCTTAGCATATAGTCAGGATACTTTCTGCAGCACTTGCAGTTCTGGTGAATGAGAGAGGAGAGAGAAAACAAGGCTGTCTGCGCTCAGCAGGAATATGGTCTTGATTTTGTTAAAGGTACAACTTTGGGTTAGTAGTGTAACATTATATATTTCAGGTCAGAGGTTTACATGTATCTATCTCAGACAAAGATAGGAATATTATCATAATAAAATAATAGAAACAAGCTGAAATACAAGCCACTGACCATACTCAGGTTCACCCTTAAAACAGATTGGTCAATACAGCCAAAAAATGGTTGTAATTACAAACCTGATTGATAGTTATGTGTCCAACCAAACTTTTGGTTGAAACAACCAACCTAATATGGTAGTGTGTTTTTCTAGCCAATCTACAGTGGTAAAACGACAAACGAATAGGATACCTCGAAGATTTGTATGCTGTACATGTATACTGTACATCATTGTAGTTGCTTTCTAGATTAAAAACTTTCATTTAACACTTGACTACAGCCAAGCAGTCAGATTGTTAAACCATCAGTTACAATTTTTATTGGTTGTTTGGTTAATCAGTTATTTGGTTGATCAAAAATCAACCAAATAACTGTCCTCTGAAGGGAGTAGTACACACCGTTAAAGGAAGTCTTAAATTTCTTAGCAATTTCTCGCATGGAATAGCCGTCATTTCTAAGAACAAGAATAAACTGTCGAGTTTCAGATGAAAGTTCTCTTTTTTGGTCATTTTAATGTTTAATTGACCCCACAAATGTGATGCTCCAGAAACTCAATCTGCTCAAAGGAAGGTCAGTTTTGTAGCTTCTGAAACGAGCTAAACTGTTTTCAGATGTGTGAACATGATTGCACAAGGGTTTTCTAATCATCCATTAGCCTTCTGAGCCAATGAGCAAACACATTGTACCATTAGAACACTGGAGTGATAGTTGCTGGAAATGGGCCTCTATACACCTATGTAGATATTGCACCAGAAACCAGATATTTGCAGCTAGAATAGTTTTTTTTTTTACCACATTAGCAATGTATAGAGTGTATTTCTTTAAAGTTAAGACTAGTTTGAAGTTATCTTCATTGAAAAGTAAAGTACTTTTCCTTAAAAAATAAGGACATTTCAATGTGACCCCAAACTTTTGAACGGTAGTGTATATAACTATAAATATAACTTATAACTATAGATACATATATATATTTATATATATCTATTGGATCCAACAGGATATCATCCATCTTCTTGTTGCCATTCACTACGATTTGACAAAAATTCTTGACAGTAACCAAAACAATAAAATTATTATTGTTATATTACCTTTGACTTGTCTTACATATGATAAAAATGAAATCTTAAATGTCTCCTATTCATTCTGACAGCAGCGGTCTGACCTATGGTCTGACATAAGATGGCCGCCTAATTGGCACGTCGGCCTGGCTGTCTTCATAATTTATTAATCATTTTAGAGCAAATTTCTGCTAGAACACACTCATGACTGTGTTAAACTAAGGTATTTAATGATGGCTTCAATTCACCAATTTTTAACTCTTTAACAGCCTGAAGATGCTTTGCTAACGTCACTAGCTGAAAATAGGATAAAGCTGTCTCAAGAGATGGATTTCCTTAAAAAGTAGCCAATAAAAGACAGTTTATGATCTCAGGTTGGTTCTATGCTCAAAGTGATAAGAAAAAGGTCCACCCACTGGTTGGAGAGAATCTACAGGAGCATAAGAGAGCAGAGAAGGAGCATGGAGTCTAGTTTGTGATATATCTTGGTATCCAATTTGCATGCATAAAACATTAAAAATTCAGAGCGTAGTTCACATACATGTGTTTTAAATAAAGCTGTTTGTACAAGTGTTTTTATGTGTATATATTTTTGCAGAACTATAAATTCATACAAACTCTGGTCATGATTTTTCATTCCAGGTTGAACTTTTCAGTGTTAGAGCAAAGGTCTCCATTACTTTATACAGTTACATTTATGCACCCAAAATAACAAAGAGTGCTAACAAATGTTTGAACGTAGTTAACTGAGATCCCGTGGATAACCATGATAAACATAAAGAAACTTCTGACCAGATGAATCTCTGAGCGGTTAGTATCAGATTATTGCATTATATGTTAAGTAGAACCAAAACTCTGTGGTGGCTCGTGACAGAAGGGAAAGTGATCACTTTCAGTGTAATGGTCCTTAACACGGCACTTAGTGGCACACTCTAAGTACCCAGGATGGAATTGCTTGATTGAACAACTCATCTTCATTTATAGGCTAATCCTCAGAAGAGTGTTGTAATGAGCTGGAGGCACATGTAATGGAATCTGCTGCAACTCTGACTTGATGACTTTGACCCCCTCTGTAATTATAGGGTCAGTATTTATTATCCACACTTTTATTGGAACAGTTGTAACCACGAAATTAAACAGCATCCACTGATTGTTCGAAGTATTGCGCACTCTGTTATCCCTAAACCAAACGTCACATACATTCACGTTCATTCTTCCCTTAAAACACAAAGTGCCTCAGTGTGCTAGTCCTCCATGGTGCTGGCACAGCACCGGTATCATTTCTGAATTACTGTGATGCTTTCTCTGAAAATGGCCCTTGAGGAGCCATGCCAAGACTGCAGCTAAAAGACCCCCGCCCATTCCTGTTGCCTCCTTGTGTCTCTCTCTGTGCGTTTGTGTATACCGGGACTCGATCTGATCACCCGTTCATCCGTTTGGGTATTCCATCAACAAAATCACTGACTCATTTATTCCCCTGATACTGATAATTATGTAACCGAGAGTTTCAGCACAATTGCGCCAAGCAGCGCTGCACAGTGACTCCTAGGACAGCTGCCTTTTCCTCTAAGTTTCCAAACCTTCACAAACCAATCAGCTGTTCTGCGATCTTATCTTTTTTGCCTCTGAGATCTTTAAACCTTCTTGATTTATACCAATTTATTGAATCCTATTTCAGCCGCTTATTTAAGCAGCTTTACAAAATGTCTAAATCGATCAGCAACAGGAATCGTGAGCTTATAACTACCTGCTAATTACACCCCACTGCAGAGATAAAATATGTAATCACACCTCTGGAGGATATCATTAACTAAAAGGATAAGGGCTCGGCAGAGTTAGGATGGGCATCTGCGGCTCCTCCCAATTGAAGATGGACTAATCTAAATGGGATACATCAATAAAACAGTGGGATAAAGTTGTGGCCACTAAGAAGCGTCGGGCTCAGGCTCCGAAATAGCAAAGAGAGTCACTGGATGGCGGCCAGCCAGTAAATTAGCAGATAAGAAATATTACTTCACTGGCACAACCGGTGGCTTGGTGCTATTTAAAACAGGGAGGTTTATTGATAATTCAATTACTTGTAGGAAAAAAAAAGGCTTTATGACAAGAACAGAATGCTTGGAGGTAGATCAATAAGGAGATACTGTAGTGGACAACACTGCAGTGGCGGAGGATACAGGACGTGTAATGTGTGTAACTGTGTCACACATACTGACGCTAATCAAAGATGCGATATTAATCCCACTAACATTGTGCAATTCTCATTGTGATGCATTTTGTTCCATTTCAGAAGCCGAACTGAAGTAAGATGGCCTCGGAAAGAGCGTCGACCCCTCAGAGCAGCTCCAAACAGAGCAGCTCACTCTCCTCTTCACCGATGAGGCAAGTGGCAGCACGACCTGTTCCTTAGATCTCTGCACCTCACAGTTGTCATGTAGTCATGTAAGCTCTGAAAAGCTTTGCTCTAAGGAACACCCAGTCTCAGCAGCTCGAAGAGACACTATAGGACTCTTTCTTTTTCTTTTTTAAAACAGTCTTTTGCTGTTTTAAAAAAAAGCATATCACATGTAATATTATTTTAGTGTTGTTGCAAAGACTGCTCTTTGTGAAGCAAAAAATTCAAATAATAAGATATACATGTCTTATGTCAACCTTTTTTTTTTTGCTTGAGGTTCCCTAGAAATCTACAAAAAAAAGCATTCTAACTGAGGAGGCTCACATTTAAGCTCTTATCCAAGCCCACCGTCTCCAGTTATTCATTTATAATTCATCAGAGACTCTCCAACAACATTCTGTAACTTTGTGCAAAGATGTCATGGTGTCTTCAAGGGGAAAAAAAGCTTCTTTTTTTCCTCTTGAAGTCTTCACCGGATATATGGAGAAAAATAATCTAAAACTCTCCACCTTATCCAAAACTTTTCGTCCGTTTTGTTTTAAATCAGTTATATATGAGATCAGAATGTATAAAGGTTTAAGTCCAATGACTCTGAGGTGGCAACTTCTCCCGTAACTGGTTTATTGTTTAGATACGGCCGTAGCTCCTGAACTCCCCAAACTGGGAGCACCTCTGGATAAAGTGCTGGATCCAGGGATGCCAATGGATTTGTACAGCTTTCTAAAGTAAAAAAAGCTCAACAATTTGCTCCTTAAAAAAAAAACTTAGAGGGGTCCCACAACACAATTCTTTCAGGATTAACAGTGCTGGGGTCCATTTCATGAAGCAGGTTTTCTGAAAATTCTTAAATTTTCTAAACCTGGAATCAGGAAACTTTGACTTTTCCATTTCACAAAGAGTTTCCTCAACCTCTGGTTCTGTCACTGCAGTGACATTCTTCCCAGAGCTAACCTGGTCGGTAGCAGGGTTTCTTCAGTAAACTGGGAGTGTCCTCTGTCTCTGCTTGCCTTACAGCCAATCAAGTTGTTTTATTTCCTGATTTAGTCAGATTTATATCATAGTTTTGTGCATAACAGAAAATAAAAAAAAAATATTCACTAGGTCTGTTAAACACATTAGGTTTAAAACAAAAAAAACAAAAAAAAACTATGATCAGCATTTTTTTCACTGAGATTTAGATATTGAAAGGGAAAGGATTCTTGACAGCGTATGACATATATTTGTTTTTGGTTTGTTTAATATGAGTGAGATGTGGATCATTTTATTTTTATCTATTTATGTTTAAAGTACATGAAGAACTACTGAAATTATTTTCAGATAACAAATTAATAGATTATTGTGTAAAGGAATTAATTTAAGGTTAGGATTATGATTTAGTTGGTGATAACCTTCTGATCCCACTGACACAATCTGAAGCCATTCCATGGACTGATAACTGCTAACAACAAGCATTTATTGGATTGATAACACCCGAAGTGGCTCCAAAAAGCTACTTAGAATTTACTGTGTATTGTAAGACAGAATCAAACTGAGAAGGAACCCCATCACATGATGGACCGTTCCTGTCTAATAAAGCAAAGTTTTTATTCTTCATCTTGACCTGCTGACAGGCGATTTTACCTTAATAGATACATTGATCCACTACCATACAATAAATAAACCTGTAATATTATTGTGCTTACAACATACTATGGCAAGCCGTTTTGATATGTATTACCTTGAATAAATATGTATTCCTGAAAAACAGTTCCCTGTCACAATGACTTGTCATCTAGAATAAACAATTTGGTTGTCTAGAAATAAATTTCAGATCTCCATATTCCTATTGTTACTTGTGATATCAGACTGTGCAAAACTCATCTTAAACACCCATTGGCCTGTATAGTGTGCTCTGTGTATGATTTTTATTGAATTAATAATAAATTAGGATTTCTAGTAATGTTAAAGGTTTTTTGATAGTTTTTAGACCAAATAGTTTGATCATGCCTAACTGATAAATCAGTTTTCCATTTTCCAGTGAAAGTGAAGAGGACTCATCCACTTTGGATAAAGTGCTATATGTATTTTGGACTGTAATTTTGGAGGAATATGGCTGAGGAAATCATCCACATTTGGTGACATTTGTAGCTCTGCTTCTTTATTCTTAAATACGCCTTTAATTATAGACCTGGTCTGTTGATATTCTTGAAATTTTCTGCACAATGAGATTAACTAAAATTAATTTGAATAAATGTTCCAAGAATTCCTTTCCTGATCCATTCAGGAAAGCCTATCATACTTCTTTTTTTTTTTTGCATGATACCAGGTTGTTAAAGGGCGTGTGTTTGCATGGTAATTTTCAGGATCCTGTCATTTTAAGAAACCCTCACCAAGCTGTCGAAGATGAGCTAATGCTGATGCTTTTAAAGCNTATGCATATGCATTTTAAGGTTTGAGCTATGAATGGAAGATCTGCAACACTGATATTAGATGATAGTGACTGTTCTGCATCTAACTCATCTTGTGAGCTGTTTTTTAGCCAATTACAGATGTATAGTTGCCTATGTCGTAGGAACTATTGACAAGTTGGGCAGCTCTAATTCTCCCATGTCTTTTTTGTTCTGTAGTGTTTTTAAGCTGTGTGTGTGTGTCATGGTTTTATCAAGAGCCCACATGCAGAGAAACTAATTCAGAGAGACCAGGGGAAAGGTTTAACAGGTTTATTGAAGAGATAATGCTGAATCAAGTGTTGCTCTGAACACTGCTGAACCGGAACTAAAAAATGAGGGGTTGACACAGTGATTAGTTCAGGCTCAGTAGGAAATTTGGTTCTTGAACTCGAAGAGGAGAATTTGGTTGCTGACTCACGTTTCCAGAGAAGTTGTTGACTCTTTGACTCCAGTCTGTGTGC